TGAAAACTTCCCTCTGTGCATTGAGCTTGTAATTTTTTATGACCAAAAATCTCACCGATACTTTAGAAGAAAAGATAATCGAAAAAGTCACACAGCTTTCCCTAAAGATAAGAGCAGCTCTACAAACCATCAAGAGTACGTGTTTTCGTCCTTATCGAAAAATCAATTCCCAAAAATATCCGAGACCAAACCTACGAATTTGCCGTTTCTTGAAGAGGACAAACTGAGGACAGAAAATTATTTTTTTTAATCAGCCAGATTAAAAAGTCTGAGCTTACTTTTAACTATTATTCAGTATAATAAAGAGAGGTTCTGCTTAAGTGTTGATCGTCGATTTACGGTGTCATACCTAATGGAGCTAAGTAGATCGACCAGGGTGAGTGAATGCAGAGTTCTAAAAATGCATGACTGAAAAAAGAAATCAATCGATGGTAAAGCCACAGCGTGTTTTGACTTATTTCCGTGAGTGATCAAGAAATATTTAGAATTTAATGCGCAGTGTTTGCTTACGAATACTAGAGTAATTAAAATGTATAATATGACCTCTGCCAACTTTTTAAGGACTAATTGACTATAAACAAAATTGGTGCGTATTTTGCGGCGTGTCGCTCCATTGTTGGTTCCCGATAGTACACGTAAATGCAGGGAAATACAAAATTACATTACGAAGCATGGTAAAATAGCGACATACTCGCTGCTTAAGTGTTTTTTTTTTTTTTTTTTTTGTTTTCCTCCTCATTACCCAAGGTTCTGCGGCATGAGCGGACCGAGACACTTCAAAAGGGGGCCGGAAGAAGGTCCGGAGGCTTCCCCTAGAATATTTTCGAAATTTGAAAGCATCTAACATGCTGGAATCAATTTCGTCCTGAAAAATTACCTAATACAAGCGTCCCTCTTCCTTCTTTCCTCAGCTACTTCCTTCTTTTTCCCCCTTCTTCTTCGTCCTTTTTTTCGGTTGAACGGGAGGAGGGGAGGCTTCACGCCCCTCTCCTTTGACCCGCCTGTCTTCTGCGGGTTTCATTCACCAATTTCAGGTGGCATCGCGCTACCGAAATAATCCACCAAAGAAGCAACAGAGCTCCGTTGGTAATATATTCGTCCGCAACTCAAGCCTCGAGTCCTCCACGTTCCGTCAATTTTAATTTCGAAGCATCCTTTGCAACTGTGTGCCGTCTTCGCCCGTCTACGGACCCTCGCTCGCTCGCGTGACGTCATTCGCCGAGTGGACCGAGATACCTCATTCATCTTCTCGGCGCGTGAAAATTAGCATGGGCTCCGCGAGCGACGAGCCGCCTTCATTTTTTCAGCACGCCTCCCCGCATCGCACCCTCCGCCCGCCCTCCCCCCTCCTGCGACCCATGAATCACCTTTTGAATGACAAGAGTTCCGGTGAGCGCGGAGACCTAAGTGAGGTGGAAGCTAAACTTTTTGCCTCTCTTCCCTCTCCTCTCGACGGTTTCTCCGAGTGAGCCCGTGCATTTTACTTCGGGAGGATAACGGTCGTCCCTACGTGAATGAGGAGAAGGACTTTTAAATATACTGAGCTTGGAAGGGATTTCCTTGACGCATCCCCAGATAGTGCATGGTGTAGAGGCGTTCAGAGGAGAAGCCTCTCTTTGTTTTTGTTTTTTTGGCTGAATGCTCTGTAACGTAGTTGACGCTCATAGACATAACGACTCAAAAATAATAAAAAAATAAAAAAAACCGACTAGGTATATTTTTTTTTATCCCTTTCGAAGTCTCTGTCTGACTATGCAAGTTGTCACTTATGTGTTGTCCTGTTATGTACTTAAGAACAATAGTGTACAATTTTTTTTTTTTTTTGCGGAAATGCCAAGGGTTAAAAATTAAAATTAAAATTTAATTTATCATTACCTTTGGTTTTGAATGAGACTTTCATTACTTTGACCGTTGAATTTGACAGAAACTTAACGAAAAAACTTAAGAAACAGTCATGACAAGAAGTGTAAATAAAATTTTACGTCATCCTGGTTGCGATGTGTGTGTGTCTGACTTACAAAATCAATGTTTTTAGAAGGAATAATCAGTTCAACAAGCCAAAAAAATCAACAAGCTGTGTAAGAAATTCAATTCAAATTAGAGAAGAAATATTTTAAATATGGAAATAGTCTTAAAATTTGGTCCTTAACACTAAGTCTTATGGAGGAATAAAATTTCAAGCTTTCTTTTCCTAAATCTAACTTGGTACGACTTTGTGAGTTTTTCTTAAACTCGATGGTTTCTACGAAAGATTTCGCAAAATCACATGCAAACCAGCCGTGCAAGCTCTCTGTTGAAGCTTTCATTTCATCGCAGCTAATTATATTCCAGGCGCACAAGAATATTTACGAGTGCGCAATTGCATTAGCCTACCTCGATAATGACCCTAGTTTTGGGCTAACTCCTTGCGCCTGAAATTTAAGGCGAGGCCTTTACTTCGGTGGGGCTGTAATAGGCTGAAATATGGCGCTCATCAAGGAAGCCGTTCAGTGCAGATTACTTAGTCCTCAGCTCGTTACGTGACTCATTTAAGCTGGCTGAGACGGGCATGGCTCGGGCATGTCAAGTTCCTTAAATTGCCGCCACCCCCTCCCCCCTCCCCCCTCCCACGACCATCCCTCCTTGCTTCTGCTTCTGCTTATCTGAATTTTGTGTATTCACCCTTTCAACGATGTTGCCGTTCGGGCGATTTTGGTATTCTGCCGTCCAAAGGAAAAACGCCAACAGCTTTGTTAAAGGTGAATTAACTTTTGAAGTTTTGGTTTGTCATTTTATCGGGCTTGATTGATAAGGGGTTTTGTACTCACTTTTTCTTCCCGATGGAGATTGATGTTTTATTTTCAAGCGATGCGCATTTCGAGCTTTACGCTCATCTTCAGGCTACAAATAGAAAACTTGTACCGCGGCGCGGATACGCGTCAAACAACGAAAAACTAAAATACGAGCGCACAACCGCACATTTGTCCACTATTGCTAAAATTATTAAACACAATGGATTGGATTACACAACAGTGATAACACGATCGTGGTCCGGTTTCGTAATTCGGCCGTTTTTATACCAATTTTTATATACGTTTTAATAATTTTAGCAATAGTGGACAAATGTGCGGTTGTGCGCTCGTATTTTAGTTTTTCGTTGTTTGACGCGTATCCGCGCCGCGGTACAAGTTTTCTATTTGTAGCCTGAAGATGAGCGTAAAGCTCGAAATGCGCATCGCTTGAAAATAAAACATCAATCTCCATCGGGAAGAAAAAGTGAGTACAAAACCCCTTGAATTAACTTTCATTAAAGATAGACGATCTTATCATGATTGATTTAAAAGACTAACACTTACTTTATGATTTTTAATGATCTTGAATTTTCTAATCAAACGGAAAATCCTTGATTTAAAACCACTCAAAATTGTTTCCTCTTTTACAGCACGTACTGCTCTATTACAAGAAAATTCAATTACCACCAGGCTTCATTTTTTTCATTTTTAGTTCCTAACGGTGTGGCGGAGCTGTATCGAAAAACTGAAGGATTAAAATGCGTTGGGTTCTTTGTAAAATAGCTGTTTGTCAGGAAAGAATTGAAAAAGTGTTGATTGCAGGTATAGCGTTTTTACTTCGGGTGGTAGTATTGGCCGAGAACTGGAATAATTTCCTAGAGAAAATACCCCCAGGGACCAAGTCTCATAATAATCAATTGAACAAGAGCCTGTGTAGTATTTTATTCCGCGTCCACTAACTTGGATTATCAAATTCCGAAAATTACAGTTAAAATTCAAGTTCCCCGTCAAAAAATTCCCCATGCCACCAAGATCCACAAAAATCGATTGAACAGGAGCGAGTCATCATTTTCGGCCAAGTCCACCATCTTGGATGCTCGAATTTCGCAAATTACAGTTAAAATTCAAGGTAACGGTCAAGAAATGCTACCTACTGACACCAAGTTTCATGAAAATCGACCGAAGAGGAGCCGAGATGTCATTCTAGAGCACATCCGCATTGATCTTGGATTTTCACAATTTTGAAAATCTGAAATAAAATACAAGTTTCCCGTCAAATAATGCTATCAGGTACCAAGTTTTACAAAAATTAATCAAACGGGAGCCAAAATAGTATTTTAGGTCATATCTACCGTCTTGGATTTTCGGATTTTAAAAAGAGTCGAAATTCAAGTTTCTTGTCAAAAATTGTCTCTGCGTGGTACCTCGTTTCACTAAAATTGATCGAACAGGAGCCGATATGATGGGGACTCTGTACAATGATAAACGATACCGATCAGTTTGCATACGTTAGTTTGCCTCCATTTTTGTCTGATATTTTGCAATAATTCCGTGGGGGGATAGTTGCTCAAAGCGCTTACAACAGTGGGTATCGCTTCGACTTGATGGCGAAAGGTCACGATTACCGCTTGTAAGCGCTAATATGCGTTTCACGCCAGCGGACCGACTGCACTGCGTTCGGCGCAATGCGAGAAGTATTCATGCAGCCTCGTAGGCGCTGATATGCGCCCCGCGCCGATCGCACTGTTTGGCGCAATGCGTGAAGTATTCATCCAGTCTAGCAGGCGCTAATATACGTTTAACACCGGCCGCACTGTGTTCGACGCGATTATTTGAATTTAATCGTGGCATCGAATAATGGAGCTTAAAAGGCCCATCCTGTTTTTCTACGCCGTATTAGCATCCCAAGATTGCCTCGTTTCTCCCGATTAAATATTTTTTCCGAGAAAAGTTAGGAAAGTTTCTCATACTCACGACCATTATTCAATCTTTTCTCTTAATTTATCCTCAGAACGTAAGACATCGATGACTTGTCAACGAACTAACATAAACTAGCGTTAACATAAAAATTTCCAAACTTTCTCCCGTTTTGCCAAACTTCTACCTTAAATTAATGTCATTTTAAATTCGCGCATTTTTTGAAAAAAAAAAACATTGTTTTTGGTATGCTGTCAGGGCTTAGTATACTTTTTCCACCCTGCAACCAGATTCCGATTTTTTTTGTTGTAGGATGGGGTGGGACGGTCCCCCTGACGACGGCCGGGCGGGTGCTGGTGATCTTGTACGGGTTCCTGGCCTGCTCCGGCGGTATCCTCTTCTTCAACCTCTTCCTGGAGCGGGTCATCACGTTGCTGGCCTACATCTTGCGGCTCCTCTACATCCGCGACCTTCGCAAGCGGAAGGGCACCGAGATCCACGACATGGACATCCACCAGGACCTCGAGGAGTGGAAGCCCTCCGTCTATTGGGTTCTCGTCTGTCTCGCCACCATGTCCGCCGTAGTCGGCTCCTTCGGCGGCTGGCTCTACTCCACGCAAGAGAACTGGTCCTACTTCGAGGCTGTCTACTATTGCTTCGTCTCCTTCTCTACGATAGGTAGGTGCATCGACTTGCTGAGTTAGCCTCATCAAAAACCGTTCAGCGGGCTGATTTTTGAAATTTGTAGACAAAACGATAGGCAAAGAAGACGTAGGGATATGGAGCGATCCTATTGGTCGAAATGGGTGGTTCTTTTAAACGAAAGGAGAAAATGATATAACTGTAGGGTATCTTGTGGGTTGCCGTTAGTGAGTCTGTTACCTTCTTTGTCCATTGCAACCACCCGCGTCCGCGAATAGGGTCCCTCTATACCCCTTTTGTCCTCTTTGTCTATCGCTTTGTTCATCAATTTCAACAATCAACCTGCAGTATTGTGTTGTTCCGAATCGTACTGAACTGTTAAACATTTTGGACTGAAATTATGTGCCGAGTCTATATAGCACCCAAAAACAATGGGCCTGTTGCAAACTTTTGCTAGAGCAGAATGAAGAGTTGTTTCCTATAGATAATGCCTCAAAAATCACGATGGGCGCATCGGCAAAGTCTGAAATGCACTCATAAATTCACAATCTGCGTAAGAAATTTGCGTTATTTTGAGCTTCCCGCTTCAAAAACGATACTACTGCACAGGTGAACATTTTGTTAGAGGAGTCGCTCCATCGTCGGCAATATTCATCATAGCCGACGCTTGCGCAGTTCCTCGCGTAATTCGAGGAGAGTTCAAGGTCAATTAAGGCGGGCGAGGAAAATATGAACGTAAACACGCCGATTGTTATATGGTTTAATCCTGTTCAGGTGTTATCTCGTACTGGCGTCGGCCATGATGAGTATTGTCGCCAATGGAACGACTCCTCTAACAAAATGTTCACCTGTGCCGTAGTATCGTTTTCGAAGCGGGAAGCTCAAAAAACCGCAAATTTCTTACGCAGATTGTGAAGTTATGAGTGCATTTCAGACTTTGCCGATGCGCTCATCGTGATTTTTGAGGCATTATCTGCAGGAAACAACTCTTAGTTTTGCTCTAGCAAAAGTTTGCAACAGGCCCATTACTCCGATTGATATGAATGCGGAGGGGAATCTTTAGGAAGTTACTTACAATTACGGAGCAGAATTTCCTCTTTTTGTGGAGTGCCATTCACTCTTACGGTGCTAATATCACTCCGGGTTTTTGGGCGCTAGCTGCATACAGACTTCGGCACTGACTTTCAAACCACGATTTTTAACAGTGTTGGCAATGTGGGCTGTGTGATATTTGCATTTTTAGAAGTATCAACAATTAATGAGCTTTATCCGAACGCAAAATTTCTGCCCTCAATGTTGATACGGATATGTATAGCCTTTTTTTAACAAGTGCAGGTTTTTAACACTGAATCGTAAACTAAATAATAGTGAAAGTGTTGTGTATTTTACAGGGTTAGGAGATTATGTCTCCGGAGAGGGACATGCAAACGAGCCACTGTACAGTGTTTTAAGCTTCATTGTTATCAGCCTCGGCAGCTGTTGCACCTACTCACTTTTTAACGTGTTGAGTATCATCATAAAGCAGTTCTTAAACTGGCTGATTTGGCACTTGGACTGCCACTGCTTTGATCGAGAGACAGACAAAGGAGACCGAATGCTTCGACGTCATTCCATCAGGTTGGTTTCAAATAAATAAACGAAAGAATTGCTCAGTTCAATCATTCAATAGATTCATTTTAGATCCATCAATTTTTGACCAGTCATCGATTTACTGACCTATGTCTCTTTAGTGCTGCTTCTTAATATTCCTGTTAATTAGTCGATCGCACCCAAAATACAGAATAAGTGCGGACCCTTTATGTTTGGACATAGTTCTACCGTGCAACGGAAAAACGCCATAAACGCCATTTTACATTTTTTAGAAACAATGTATCCTAGCAGAAAAATGTGTGTACATTAGGACAATGTTATTACAGAATTTTTTCGCAAATACTATCAAGAACATACCTGAAAATTTGAGATGCATGGGTAAAACAGTTTTTATAAAGTGTAAAGTTCCGAAAAACGAGGGAAAATCTTGATGAATTTACGGCGTTCTTGCTCAGCACGGCAGAGTTGTAATTAGGACGTTTCTTCTCTTGGAGCCTTGATGCGTGATGCGGATCCAAATGTTGAAAAAGGTAGCTTTCAGCTAGTCAGTCCTGTCTACATACAGGGTGTGGGAAAGATGCCAATAACCGATAATGTACAGCTGGAAACGTAGTATGCTAAATAAGGTCTCATCCAAGATTGGCAGGGTGCACAACTGCACTCGCTATGACAAAAACCCAGAAAGAAAGCACTGTCTGAGACCGCATCTAAAGCCGCATTTAGCTCCGTATCCTGTTCAATGTGCTTAATTCTCCCTTATTACGATTGATTTACTGCGATTGCAATTTCCACTTGAACAAAGCTGAGAAATATGGTCGTATCTCCAAAAATGTCAAAGAAAAATATTTTATTCCCTTGATACCTCCGCCGAGGGTATTCAATTTTAATATTCCACTAAGCTCTGATTATTGTATACAAATGTATAATTATACCCTAGGCTAAGTCTTGGTGAGTCTAAATTTAACTCTAGCTCCTCCGCTAAACAGATGGGCTTTTATAAAAATGGCCGAATTTAAGTAGACATCAATAGAGCTACAGTCATGGCGGTCAAGTTATCAGAGTCTGATTGCAATGCTCCGCGTCTCGGCTTATATTTCATGGCTCTAAAAGAAAATCAATCGAGAGTTTCTTTATAAATTGCCTGTGAAATTTGCTCGCTCATTGCAAATTGAAATGACTTAGACTTAGTTCCTTTAGACTTAGGAAGAGAATGATGGACTAACTATACACTGGAAAAAAAACACATTGGATCTAGAGTCCAGACTCTTAAAACATTGACAAGAAAAAGTAATCTTGATTCAATCAAAAACCAAGCCTCTTAATTTAAGCCGATTTTGTTTTGATTCAAGCAAAAATCCGATTGAATCAGGAGTATTTTTTCTTGTCAAAGTTTTCAAGAGTCTGGACTCTAGATCCAATGTGTTTTTTTTCCAGTGTAGGGTCTTTCGTCGGTTGCCGTCAGTCTATTACCTACCTCCTAAGTCTATTGCAACTATCCGTTTCCACCAATAGGATCCCTCAGTATCCCTTGTGTTTTCTTCGTCTATAGCTTTGTCTATCAATTTCAACAAACTTTTTTCTGATTCCAGGTTCCAGCGGGAGCAGCGAGAACGACGTCGACGCTCGAGCCTGACGGTGCCGAAGACGATCCGGCGAACACGGAAGGGCGGCGCGGGAGGGGCTCCAAGCTCCATCTCGAACAACAACGAGGAGGGCGACGACGTGGACTCGGACTCGGGGGGCGGCGAACCGGGGCGGCGGCTCTCCGGGGAGATGATCTCGATGAAGGGCCTCGTCTGCGGGAACAAGGTGAACCTGGCCGTCATGCAGAAGCAGCTCTACGAGACGGCCCAGATGTCCCGCGGCGGGGGCGGCTACGACCGGAGCACCCACTTCGGCCCCGGCACCGTCGGCCCCCTCGCCATCGTCTCGCACAAGTTCGGCGAGAAGTAGGGTGGACACCGTATTTTGTTCGAGGATCAAAAGTCCATCTCCGTTATCACACCCACCGACTTCGATTTCACTACTTGAGCCTCAAGATTAATGCTTCTGTAATAGAGCACCTATATGGGGAGAGTACCAGCAGCCTGATTGTTGAAATCTTGTGTTAGTCGGGTAGACATAGATGACATAGGTTAAAAAGGCGGAGCGTGATTGGTCGGCTATACCTTATCGCTGCTTTGTCGCGCCTATGTCAGGAGGAACTCACGACAACCTGAAGGCACCAGCGGGCCGATTATTGAAATTGATAGACAAAGCTATAGACAAAGGAGACAAGAGAGACATGGAGAGATCCTATTGGCGGAAACGGGTGGTTGCCATGGAAAAAGTAGGTGGGTAATAGACTCACTACCGGCAACCCACGAGAGACCCGACAGTTAGTCTATCATTTTCTCCCTTTGTCCATAGAAACCACCCGTTTTAACCGATAGGATCGCTCCATACTCACTATGTCTTCTTTGTCTATAGCTTTGTCCATCAATTTCAGTAATCAGTCCGCTGTTAAGTTTCCGACCGTATGTCGACCATTCCTCCTGATAAAGGCACGATAAAGCAGCAATAAGACATAGCCGATAATTCTTGCTTCGCCTTTTAACCCTATGTCATCTATGTCTACCCGACAAACATAAAATTTCAACAATCAAGCTGCAGACTGTCGTGCTAAGGAAGAGCGTCGTATGAGCCTTCAGACGTTGCCAAATTTCCTTCAATGAAAACCAAATGTATTGGGAAAATTTCGAATACTTTTCTTCAAATTTTTCAGACAATTTTTTTTCGCAATTTAATCTAATATATTTAAAAATTTCAAGATAAAATATGCATAATTATCCTCTAAGATACTTGTTTAATCCATTGAAATTTGGCACCTCTCGAATTTTCATGCGGCGCTCTTCCTTAGGTGAATGTATTTGTACATTCTTTGTCCGCAATTTCTCTACAGACGCATTAAACGTTCCAAGAGACATGAAAATTGACTTTTGTCTCTCCCTTTCCATTTGGACGCTTCACCTCCAGAAGAAATATGAAATCTAAAATCCCTTCCCCTCATTTTTAGGGGCGAAGGATTTTATTCATGCGATAACGAGAGAATCTGTGAATTCAAATATACATACATTTTTTTTTTTTTTTCGAAGTAAATTTGTTTTTTTAGCCATGTCAATAACTATGTAAATACTTGTCAATCATTTTATTTCCTCAAATCCATTGGAAATGAAAATAAAAGCTTCACATCCCCGCTTCTTTTCTGCCCCTTGGAGGCATCCATAACCAAATGCCAGTCGCTCGTAAGTTGAGATCTTTCTCCATTCATGACTTCTTGCAATACGTTGGCTCGTAAAGAGAATCGTAAAAGTCGAACTCGAAAAACTTGTAGTACGTTGACACTCGAGAAAGAACGCTGATACACAATCTTATTGTTAGCTGCCTCTGTCGCGTACTGAGCCAATCGCAATTCGCATGTAAGAACGACAACAAGAAGCGAGAAGCTTTAGAATATAGATATTCTCGGAATCAATTTTTCCCCTCTTTGCTTTTATTGAAAAGCTGAAGGTTTCACCACCAAGACAGCGCAGTGAGCAAAGGCATCTCTACAAACTCAGTATTTGAGAATTACAATAGCATCAAATAGGATTGTTTCTAGTTCAGTATAAAATCTCTACAATTTTGATTTGGAATACTATTAAATATGGAGAACTCGTGGTAAAATTATCAAATAGAGACAAGCATCGCATATCCCTAAAAACGGATAGGATACCCAAGCCATGCTTCAGGAGAGAAAAGAGAGAATATGTATGTTATACTCAGCTCGTCTATCGGTCATGTTTACGAATGTGACCTAATTAGACAAAGTAAAGAGACGTTTCATTAATTGGTTCGAAATAGCCAATAACAACTAAACTCAGGATCCTCAAAAAGTGCCAAATAGATATTCGAACAAAATACGGTTCATTCAGAACTTCAAGAGCGGCCAAATATTATTATAGGTATTAGCAGTTTTAAGATCATTCGCTCAACGATAACAGAATGTTGGCAGCCGATGCTAATTTTCCAAAGTGTCCTCAAATGATTGCTCATTTACCAAATTAAATACCTTTATGGGATAGCAAAATATATAAATGATTATGGGCGTATTTTCTTGGCCTGTCATTTTTCAACTTCTTCCTATTCTCCCTGCCGATGTTGCACAAACGGGCAAATGCTGTCATAACAGCTTCATAATCCAAAGTTAAATTGAGCTAATTAATTTCAAAACATGCCACCTCCTTTCCAATGTTGTCGATATTGAGCGCGTCGTCAATTTTCGGTAAAAATCTGAAGCGTGATTTTAAACTTTATTTGCCACTTAAATAACAAGTCAGTATTGACAACTGCCTGCTTAGTACGGCATGTAAAGTATCATCATTATATTTCAGATAGCATTAAATTGTTTTGTGACAGCATTGTGAAAAAAATGTCATGATCCTGAAATACATCAACATTTAATGTAGACTGAAATACAGAAAAATGGAATTATTACTCTCAATTAAAAATTTAAAAATCAATTCATAATGTAAAAGAGCCTGATTGTAGGCTGAATGTAAGGTTGTTTGAGATTTTCCGCGTTTTTTTAGTTCAGACTTCTGATAAATCTGAAGTAGGTCATCACTGATGATCTTCTGCATCATAACGCCATCAGCCATTACATTGTATATACATTGTATATACATTGTTCTACACAAATGGAAACTGACTCCATGCAACACTTATTTCTTTCGATTCACCTGATTTACCATATAATTTCCTCTAACGGACGAAGAAACTGCACTTATCATGCTGAACATATTCAGTCTTCTCTGTTGATCAATGAAGCGCCTGCATACAGTCAGTTCTGCAACTTCTTCAACATATAAGGTTGTTTAGTAGTCAATTCTCGTATCAAATGTAGGATAGGTGTCATTGTTTGAAAATCTAACCTTACGCCGCTTTTGATAATATATTTGTTGATTTATAGATCCTTTCGACAACTTTATTTTGATTGATACATTCAAATGACAGAAATGATTGAATTCCAGCAAATAATGAAAACTGTAATTAAATCAAGTTTACAGGAGAAAAATTATACAGTAACCGAGCAATTTTTGCATGCCATTTTAAAACCTCCTTTCTAGTAAGTGTAAATTACTTAGTTTAAAATATTTCCCGATGTTATGTATATACTGTATTTAAATTGTATTGAAAATTGTCAATACCGCAAGTCAATTGAATAAAAATTTTAAGGAAACAATTATGTCTTGATATTTTTGTATCCCCTAATAGCAACTGCATTACGTACTTTTGAGCTTACAGTTTTGATATTCCCTCAAAGCCCATTACAAGAAGTTTCAAGTTAAATAATCCTATAAAATTTCAAAAAAATAAACGTACAAATGTTCCAGAAAATTAAAATTAGAAATTTGGCACGGTTTGAATTCTTTTATCTACCGTTTTCTTTCGCATAGCGGAGCATACCAGGATTTAACCGACCGATATAACTTGTCTTTCATCAAGAGCGCTGAGATTTTTTTTTTTTTTTTTCTTCTTCTGAATGATCTGACATGATGAAAAGTGAGTGCGAGAACGCTCCTGTTATGAATAAAGGGATGAAGCGGAGGCTGCAGATAAATATATGGGAATAAGCACCCTATACAGCGCAGTGGCAAGGCGTGAATAATCGATTATCGATATTTTCCCATTCGAAGCTGTGGTAAATAATCGATTATTAAGATGCTCGTTGCGAGCACCCCGTTATCGATCCTTTTCCATGGGCTAAAACGGCAGACCGATCGATATATCGCAAAGCACGCCACGCCACTGCCGCATACAGTGGTAATGTGGCACGAAAATGAGAAGAACAAAGACCGAGTGAGATGCGATGTTGTAAAGAGATTGGATAGAGGAAGAGATTCGGGTAGCTACTTACAAAAGCTGTCCTAAAAATGAAGAGACGCTGAAAGAAGGAGTTTCAGCTCTCGGAGACTCTCTTGATCTCGCGACGAGGCCGTATTGTCTCCGCGCGACTTGAGAACCACGCATGGTTGACTAATTACTTCAACTGCAGCAATGTCACATCGAAAAGCCTTTATTTTCATGAAATCATAGTACAAATTGTATCCGGATCTCGAAGAAAATGTCACAAAAATCCGAATAATAATACACTGGAAAAAAAACACATTGGACCCAGAGTCCAGACTCTTAAAAACATCGACAAGAAAAAATACTCTTGATTCAATCAGATTTAAGCTTAAATCAAGAATCTAGCCTCTTAATTTGAGCGGATTTCCTTTTGATTTAAGCTTAAATCTGATTGAATCAGGAGTATTTTTTCTTGTCGATGTTTTTAAGAGTCTGGACTCTAGATCCAATGTGTTTTTTTTTGTTCCAGTGTATCAATGGCTAATCCGAAACCACGTATCTCCATTGCGGTGTTTTAACATTTCCACCCCTTTTTTTTTCAAAGAGAATCAAGTCAACTTTGCAGCTTGTAATTCCTGCAGAACATTTTCCCAACGGAGAGGAAAAATCAAGATAGGTGTCAAGAAATAATGGTGACTGGGTTTTCAAAGAAAAAAATATGTACGGCAAGGAGTCTAAGAGTCTAAATGAAAATGCATGTTTCGCACCTCGGCCATTGATATAGCCTCCAAGGTTTTTTTTATTTTTCAAGTGGGCCATACATAGAACAAAGGTACGTCCCATTGAGACAACAAACAATAATGTCTCAATCCCGTAGCAAATATTGCCTTATGAAGTAAGTGCACTCATATTTCCGGTGACGATTCTTGCATGTTGGCAATACCGTTATTTCCTCCATTTAATTCTATTAGAAATATCGATTCTAGACGAGGTCTCATTCATAGGGTCGATTGCTATACATAAGTTTAAATATAGGAATACCAATTATATAGACTTAAAAATCACCACTGTGTGTTTCAATGGCTTACGCTTCATGGGGCATTGGAAAAAATCATCTAAATATGTCTTACAGTTTGTAAGGCTGTAAAATTAAATAATTCTTTCGTGCGACTAAACACCTCAAACGTTTGGAGATGCTGCCACTATGCATCTGAATATTTTGCGGCTCTGACGATAAAGGTTTTAAAGTTTAATACATTTTTGTCAGTTTATGAGTTTTTTGTGAAGGGAGAATTGAACTGAGTCTCCCTTCTTTGATTCCCTTTGTTTCATTCTTCTAGGTACAACTGAGTGTGTGCTCCTTCAGTATTGACGTTATTACATGCTTGTCCCATATTGAAGATAAATCGAGTCAAATGACTCGAAAAGCGCGTTAAAAGGGTTGTAAGTCACATTTAAAGATTAACGTTGCGACCAAGTGTTCTCTGTAAGCCCTCGCCCTCATGTGCTTATTGAGCGTTTATAGAAATCCATGAGCCATACCGACGAATCCATGTCAAATTTGGCATGCACTCGGATCTAACTGAACCAAAGATGTGTGCTTTAATTTTTTTTTTTTTTTTTTTTTTTTTTTTTTTTTTTTTTTTTTTTTTTTTTTTTTTTTTTTTTCTTTTCTTTTTATTTTTATTTTTTTATTTTTTTTTTTTTATTTAAGATTTAGCACCACGTTTCATGCTTCATCGAAATGTCGTGCTTATTATTATAGTATCAGAGAGTTTGTTTTAAAATTCCTGTTTGGTGAATTTGAGACATTTCTTACCGTCATTTGGCAATGCTGGACCGTTCTAATGCTCTCAAGTAGGGTGCATTCCCACTTGTCCTCTTTTTCAGCCCAATTACACAGTTATACATATTCATTGTCGAAAGCCAAGCTTATACCCCTCTTCCATCTTTCTTAATTAGCTGCAATATAACGATAATGTAGGCCTCGTACATTTCTGTCACCCAGATTTCTGTGCAATCAGCAGGATTGCAGGGGCAGAAAAATAAAATATCTTTATAAAAAATTACCTGTTGCCAATTTCGTTTAAAACAATTTTATTAAAAAAGTCGTGATTTTATAAAAGAAATAATCTTTTAATGAGAAGAATAAGTGTTTGGGTAAAACTTGTGGTGAAAAAAGTTTTTCAGAACAGAGGTTTTAATGGTGTGGAAAGTTTAGGGTACCTGCAGTTTTTCATTTTGGAAATAATTTGAGGTTTGCCAAAAAAACTCGCCATACATACACGTGAAGTTGCCTAAAATTACGTTGAACAAGTCTGAAATTGCCTATGTAGGTAGAAGATCGAGAATTGAGGGAGAAAATGAGCAAGATAGGGGATGGACAAAGGAGTAAATTTTTAAGCCACATAATAGACGGAAAAGATTATAGCTAATATGACACACTAAGAAAAAAAGCATCTAAAGTTGCCAAAATTTTTTCTCAATGCATTTATCATAACAGAGGAGACATGCGTATGAAGCTTTTATATGTAGTGCTTAAGGCGCTAAGCAAATGTCATTGCTACGTAAGACCCATAACTACGCCTCTAGCCCCTCTAGGCGCATAGAATTCAGGTACATTTTTTTTTTTTTTTTTTATAATAATCAGGTTTACAATGTACCTTTGAAGTACTCTAAAGCATGGTACCGTGCTGAGGAAGAATGTCATATGAACATCCGAGGGTTGCCAAATTGCCTTCGATAAAATGTTTACTTTCGAGAAAAGTCATGAACATTTCTCCTTAAAATTTTCAGGAACATTAATTGAAGTTGCGAACAAAATTATCTTAAAAATTGGAAGAAAGATATTCATAATTTTACCAAAAAATTCGTGTTTTATCAAAGGCGCCTGAAGGTTCATACGGCGTTTTTCCTCAGCACGGCATCATAAAAGTACACGCCGTATAGTGCGAAATCCCACCGATAGAGGGATCTGCATTTGAAGCAGCATCGCATCGCATGCTCTATGTTTTCAGGGTCTCTTGGAAGTCGGAGCTAGAACCCCGCGGAAAACGTACCGCGCACTCCTGGTAAGGAATATTCTTTGCGCGGACGAGAAATGGTGGGGGGCGGAGGGCTGAGATAAAAGATACGCCGAGGATTGTAGATGCTGCCGAAT